GAGCGTTCAACACAACTTTGTTCTATCACGTTCAACACAACTTTGTTCTAGCACGTTCAAGACAACTTTGTTCAAGAACGTTGAACACATCTTTGTTCAAGAACGTTCAACGCAACTTTGTTCAAGAAAGTTCAACAAAACATTGTTTATGAACGTTCAACACAACTTTGTTGAAGAACGTTCAACACAACTTTGTTCAAGAACGTTGAACACAATTTTGTTCAAGAACGTTCAGCACAACTTTGTTCATGAACGTCCAACACAACTTTGTTCAAAATCTTTGTTCAAGAACGTTCAACACAACTTTGTTTATAAACGTTCAACACAACTTTGTTCAAGAACATTCAACACAGCTTTGTTTAAGAACGTTCAGCACAACTTTGTTTATAAGCGTTCAATACAACTTTGTTCAAGAACATTCAACACAACTTTGTTTCAGAACGTTCAGCACAACTTTGTTCACAAACGTTTAACACAACTTTGTTTAAGAACGTTCAACACAACTTTGTTCAAGAACGTCCAACACAACTTTGTTCATAAACGTTTAAGTCAACTTTGTTCAAGAACGTCCAACACACTTTGTTGAGGAACGTTCAACACAACTTTGTTCATAAACGTCTAACACAACTTTGTTCAAGAATGTTCAACAAAACTTTGTTCAAGAACGTCCAACACAACTTTGTTCATGAACGTTCAACACAACTTTGTTCATAAACGTTTAACACAACTTTGTTCAAGAATGTTCAACAAAACTTTGTTCAAGAAAGTTCAACACAACTTTGTTGAAGAAAGTCCAGCACAACTTTGTTCATAAACGTTTAACACAACTTTGTTCATAAACGTGTAACTCAACTTTGTTCATAAACGTTCAATACAACTTTGTTCTAGAACGTTCAACACAGCTTTCTTTAAGAAAATTCAATACCACTTTGTTGGACAACTTTCAACACAGGTTTGTTTAAGAACTTTCACGGCAACTTTGATCGCTAACGTTCAACACAACTTTGGTTATAAACGTTCAGCACAACTTTGTCCATAAACGTTCAACACATCTTTGTTCCAGAACGCTCAACAGAGCTTTTTTAAGAACGTTCAACACAGGTTTGTTTAAGAACCTTCAACACTACTTTGTTCATAAACGTTCAAGACAACTTTGTTCAAAAACGTTCAAGACAACTTTGTTCAGAACGTTCAACACAGCATTGTTTAAGAACGTTCAACACATCTTTGTTGATGAAAGTTCAACACAACTTTTTTCAAGAACGTTCAACACAAATTTGCTCAAGAAGGTTCAACAAAGCTTTGTTTCACGTTCAGTACGTCTTTGTTGAAGAACGTTCAACACATCTTTGTTCATAAACGTTCAACACAACTTTGTTCAAGAACGTTCAGCACAGGTTTGTTCAACAACTTTCAACATAACATTGTTTAAGAACGTTCAACACAAATTTGTTGAAGAACGTTCAACACAACTTTGTTCAAAAAAGTTCAACACAGCTTTGTTCAAGAACGTTAAACACAATTTTGTTCAGTAGCGTTCAACACAACTTTGTTCAAGAACGTTCAACACAACTTTGTTCAAGAACGTTCAACACAATTTTGTTCATAAACGTTCAACACATCTTTGTTCAAGAACGTTCAACACAACTTTGTTCAAGAACGTTCAACACAACTTTGTTTATGAACGTTCAACGCAACTGTTTATTAACGTTCAAAACAACTTTGTTTATGAACGTTCAACGCAACTGTTTATTAACGTTCAAAACAACTTTGTTCAAGAAAGTTCAACACAACTTTGTTGAAGATCTTTGTTCAAAAACGCCCAATACAACTTTGTTCATAAGCGTTCAACACAACTTTGTTCAAGAACATTCAACACAACTTTGTTCAAGAACGTTCAACACAATTTTGTTCATAAACGTTCAACACATCTTTGTTCAAGAACGTTCAACACAACTTTGTTCAAGAACGTTCAACATAACTTTGTTTATGAACGTTCAACGCAACTGTTTATTAACGTTCAAAACAACTTTGTTCAAGAAAGTTCAACACAACTTTGTTGAAGATCTTTGTTCAAAAACGCCCAATACAACTTTGTTCATAAGCGTTCAACACAACTTTGTTCAAGAACATTCAACACAACTTTGTTCAAGAACGTTCAACATAACTTTGTTCAAGAACGTTCAACTCAGCTTTGTTCATAAGCGTTGAACACAACTTTGTTCAAGAACGTTTAACACAACTTTTTTCAAGAACGTTCAACATGAATTTGTTCAAGAACGTTCAACACAACTTTGTTCATAAAAGTTCAACCCAAATTTGTTAAAGAACGTTCAACACAGTTTTTAAGAACGTTCAATACAACTTTGTTCATAAACGTTTAACACAATTTTGTTCAAGAACGTTAAACACAACTTTGTTCAAAAACTTTCAACACAACTTTGTTCAAGAACGTTCAACACAAATTTGCTCCAGAACGTTCAACACAACTTTGTTTATGAACGTTCAACACAGCTTTGTTCAAGAATATTCAACACAAATTTGTTCAAGAACGTTTAACACAACTTTGTTCAATAACGTTCAACACAGCTTTGTTCAAGAACGTTCAACACCGCTTTGTTCAAGAACGTTCAACACAACTTTGTTCAAGAACGTTCAACACAAATTTGTGTTTAAATTATAAACATGTGCAACTGTTGGGTATCTTTACTGAGGAAAGATTGGACAAATGTGACACCACCTATGACTGCTACACCTCTCCTGCCTACGGTTTATAAGCTGCTTCTCCGCTTATATGCCGCATTCTATTCAAGATTGATGGACTGAACACATCGACTCAAGGCTGAGGGACTGATTACCTCATTCTCCTCCTGCTCTTCACGTTTCTCCTTTGTATGGACTGATGAAGCCACTATGTGGCGAAACGTTTCCTCAGTAAAGATACCCAAGAGTTGCACATGTGTCTAATTTAAAAACATGTCGGTTCTTTGAACTATTCATCTACAAATTTGTTAAAGAACGTTCAACACAACTTTGTTCAACAACGTTCAACACAACATTGTTCAAGAACGTTCAACACAGGTTTGTTCAAGAGCGTTCAACACAACTTTATTCAAGAACGTTCAACACAACTTTGTTCATAAACGTTCAACACAACTTTGTTCATAAACGTTCAACACAACTTTGTTCAAGAACGTTTAACACAACTTTGTTCAAGAACATTCAACATAACTTTGTTCAAGAACGTTCAACACAGGTTTGTTTAAGAACTTTCAAGACAACTTTGTTCATAAACGTCCAACACAACTTTGTTCAAGAACGTTCAACACAACTTTGTTCAAGAACGTTCAACACAACTTTGTTCATAAACGTTCAACACAACTTTGTTCAAGAACGTTTAACACAACTTTGTTCAAGAACGTTCAACATAACTTTGTTCAAGAACGTTCAACACAGGCTTGTTTAAGAACTTTCAACACAACTTTGTTCATAAACGTTGAACACAACTTTCTTCAAGAACGTTCAACACAGCTTTGTTTAAGAACGTTCAACATAACTTTGTTGAAGAACGTTCAACACAGGTTTGTTTAAGAACTTTCAACACAACTTTGTTCATAAACGTTCAACACAATTTTGTTCAAGAACGTTCAACATAACTTTGTTCATGAACGTTCAACACAACTTTGTTCAAGAACGTTCAACTCAGCTTTGTTCAAGAGCGTTCAACACAAATTTGTTCAAGAACGTCCAACATAACTTTGTTCATAAACGTTCAACACAACTTTGTTCAGCAACGTTCAACACAACTTTGGTCAAGGACGCTCAACGTATTTTTGTTCAAGAACGTTCAGCACAGGTTTGTTTAAAAACATTCAACGCAACTTTGTTCATAAACGTTCAACACAACTTTGTTCAAGAACGTTCAACACAACTTTGTTCAGAACGTTCTACACAGCTTTGTTTAAGAACGTTCAGCACAACTTTGTTCATGAACTTTCAACACAACTTTGTTCAAGAACGTTCAACACAGGTTTGTTCAATATATATATTTGTATATATATATATATATATATAATATATTATATATATATATATATATATATATATATATATAATATATATATATATATATATATATATATATATATAATTGCTTTATTCACACAACTTTAACTTTTCACAATAAACTCACACTCAAGTGATTAAGGTCCAGTTGGGCAGAAATTCTCTTCTGAGGTTTTCTCTGTAAATTGTTCTTTGTTGGGAATTGTTACAACCACTGTACTGTGTCTCTTATTTATGTCTCGAGTGTCACTCCCAAGGTAGGTTGTTGGAGCCGTGTGTATTTAACCTCCGACCAGACCACATCCATTGGATTGTCTTATTCTGGTCTAGTCGATAAAACTTTTATATCTGTAACTACAAAGAATTTACCTTGCTGTACTGGAAGATTATCTTGATAACTCTCTGTAAAGAGTAAACAACCTGTAAATGAAGAAGTGTATTGTATATGCATTACGTCTTGAGTAAGATGACTGTGTGTTATTTGACAAGACTAATTATTGTTTAAATATTCTCTGGATAATGTACTCTATATTTTGGAAAACCTGGATTAAGTACAGTAATACATATTCTCTATTTTATAAGCAAATGAATGTCTTTAATTAAGAGTAAAGGTTTAGTGGAAGTTTAATTTTTATCCCAAACACTGTCGGAATTGTTACGTCTGAATTCTCTAAAAGCTAGTAGTAAGCACTATTTATCATAAGGCGTAACAGGAACTAACTCACAGTATTGTACTAAATGATTGACCATGACACACAGATGCTTGTTACCTCGGAGGGAACGTTGGAAGTTGGTCAAAAGGTCAAGTGTTACGCTCTCCCATGGCACACAGATAAGTGTTTGCGGTCGTGGTCACCTGAGCTCTCATCGTCCGTTCCCGAGGTACCTTAAGAAGTGCTTTTATTTTCTGGAGCTCCTCCGTAAAGGATAATCAGATACGAACCTACCTGTCCCCTTCCCCACCTTTCCTCCGCTTCTCTATGAAAACAACAACAGAGAAGAAGGAACTCAGCTCTACTTTTTATTTGGGTTGCTGGCACCAAGGACTCGTCAAACTGTGCGCACCGTGGCCATCGCTATCCTCTCCGCCCTCGCCCTCGTTGCTATCTTCCACTTGGCCAGACTTGCATAACATCCTGTCAGTGAGAACGTCGTCGATGTGTCGGCGGAGAAGGGCAAGACGCAGCAACAGCAACAACAGCAGCAGGCGGCAGAAGCAGCAGCAGCAGCCTGGGGAGGACAAGATGTGCTCAAAACATCTGGCGGCAAGGTTTTTGTAGCACCAGCAGGTGCTGGAGAGGACTGGCGAGGAGGGAAGGAGTGTTCGCGAAGGCAGTAGCAGACGCTGGCGGGGTAAATCCTGTGCAAGACATATGGGTCCACGGCAGGAAGGTCGCCATTCACCCGATCCTCAACGTTCCTGTTGATCGAGATTTCCTGACACAAGACGTGGAACAAATCAGGAAGCTAAACAGAAAACAAAGTCGCCCTGCCAACTCGACGGAGGTGGAGAAGACACTGGAGTTGGTGAGACAGACTGTGGAATCTGACCGCAAACAGATGAGCAGCAAGTCCTTGAGACTGTGGTCTCCCGGGGAGACGCCTCTCAGGGTGTTGCTTGTGACAACCTGGCGTTCTGGCTCTACTTTCTTGGGCCAAGTCTTGGCCAACCACCCTGGCGTCTTCCACCATTATGAGCCCTTCAGCTCCCGCGGGGTGCGACAGGTCCGCTCTGGTCGTGACGCTTTCCAGGCTCAGCAACTGCTTCATCGCCTCATGGACTGTCAGTTCGCTGGCCAGGATGAGTATCTAAACTACACCCGTTCTCACCCCGAGGATTTGCTGGGTGACAACAAAGTTGTGTGGGACGCTTGCCACAATGGCCCTAACGCCAACGCCTGCTTCAATGCCACTTTCCTCACCAAGGCGTGTCAGATGTTTCCCATCCAGCTTGTGAAAACAGTACGCCTGCGCCTCAACTTGACGCAGCTTTTCCTTAACGACGAGAAGATGAACATGAAAGTGGTGTTCTTAGTGCGTGACCCTAGAGCCACCATGAGTTCCCGTTACAACTCGGTGTCTTGGTGCTCAGATAAACCCGACTGCTCCTCTCCTGAAGTGCTTTGTTCTGACCTGCAAGCAGATCTGAAAGTTGCAACAGCACTCAAGCAACTCTATCCTCAAAGGTTCACCATGGTAAAGTATGAGGACTTGGCCACAGATCCGCAGCCGCAGATCAACAACTTGATGAACTTCCTTGGACTGGAATTTTCTCAGGAGATTGCTCGTTATGTGGAAGAGCACACAAAAGTAGACGTCAACAGCCCCTGGAGCACTAAACGCAAGTCTTCCAACAGAGTAAGAATGTGGAAAAAACAGCTGCCTCTCCAGGAGGTTTACACTATTCAAAATGCGTGCGAGTCAGTGAAATATGAAGTTATTGGCCAGTGAATGTGTAGAGAGCTCCACGCGCCATGTAAGAGGAAAATTCTTCAAAAGTCGCGAAGCTCGAGAACTACACTATGTTGCTACACTTTAAACGTTTCAGGTTTTAATCCATATATACATTTCCTTTCCCACTAACCGGGCTATCAAGGAATTTTTTTTCATTGTACAAACCATCTCCATTAAACTTTGCCAAGTGATGACACTTCAAACACTAAACTTGGCTAAAGCTGGCGTGTTGTCGTCATGTGGGAGGGAGATGGAAGACGGGTCCCACGAACTGCTACATTTGCTTAACCACCATCACCCAAGCCTTGGGTTGTAACCTCTTCAGTGATGCTCTTGCTTGAACATTTTCTCACCGAGTTTATGTAAATGGCAAAGAAAATCGTTTCTAACCTACTTAAACCTCGAGTGGAGCCAACATATTCCGTTTTGCGTGTGCTTAGTAGTTAGTTCAAAATACACCCACTAGCACGTGAGTTTGTTACAACGAAGAGACAGCATTACTTCCCTCTTCCCGAGAGCGGCTCTCTCAGGAAAGTAACGGCAATTACCAACAGCCTATCTAGTTAGAGACCAAACAGCGATTGGAGACATAGGACTGAGCCTCGTCACTTGTTGCACTGAGCGACCTACATGGGATTCAGAGCTTCCTATAAATAATAACAATATCAGGGAATTTTTTTTGTTATATTTTTATTTAAAACATATAACAAATACAAGAATGTATAAGAGTATAATCAAATTAAAAACTATACTGGATATTAACAATTACCTATATTACACAATCCCAGTACAGAAAATAAACACTATAGATAATGGCCATATTACAACCAGATACACAACCCACAACATACCTCTCCTTTTACACACTGCATAACGTGAAGTTCACGCTTTAAAATGCAAGAAAATACACCACATGCTACATTTTCGGTAAAATACTAGGATATATAAATATTTTTAAATAATCCAAGGCTGTGACATGAATAAGATTATCCAAATGTTTCATGTTGATTTTAGTAGATAACACCGTAACAAACTCCTTACAACATCTAACACACCACATACAAACATACCAAAACTTAACATACATTCCACCAGACTAGACTTTCTCTGTGCCTTCTAGCACGTGCCTAACTAGTATTATATACAAATAAATATACAATGAATATTAATTTAGGTTACTACTCCTTATTCACATATGATTGCATAATAGGTAATTACTTCAAAAAAGATGCAGGAACACGTTACAAAAATTGCAAAAACCTCAATGTTTCAAGGAACATAGTGAAAGGAAAACCCTCGCAAGTTAAAATTCACTTGCAAGAACAGTACAAGAGGGACATAATTCGCTACCAAAGAAAAATTCATGTTACATATTTTATATGTTATATATTTATAAATGTTTTATATTTAAATTGTCATTTATACCTTCCCCAACAAGGGAACTAAACAAAATAGATCTTTCACACCATCACATCCAGTTCCACAAGTGTACCTCCAGTCACACCCATCCACCCATCACTTCACACACGAGGAGGTCACCCCGTTGAATACCCCTGACTCCCCCCACCCCTTTTACCAGCATACTCACGAGATACCGTCAGCTCTTATTGTTTGAAGAATTATATTAATAATAACAACATTAGCAAACGTAATTTATATACGTGGAGAGAGAGAGAGAGAGAGAGAGAGAGAGAGAGAGAGAGAGAGAGAGAGAGAGAGAACAAACCCAGTAAGTCAGTGGTTCTCAACTTGTTTCAGTCCATGGACCACCAACCCAATTACAAAAAATATCGTGGACCATTTAATTTTCTCAGTAATGATATATAAAGGCAAATCAAAGACAACAGATAATTTGATTCGAAATATATTTCTTATCAACAAAAATTCGAGAAGTTATATAAAATAATAGATATTAAACATATTAGTCTAAAATATATTTCATGCAAACATAATTTCCTGGAAATAATTGTACACATATCTAACATTTTGCTGTGAAATTTCTTTCTGACGAACATAATTTTGAAATTATGAAGTATTTAACCAACATTTCTCTTTGAAATATTATTATTTCACTTTTGTTTGCAACCAGACTTTTTGTATTATCTTCTCAGTGACAAACTTTTCAATGTTCGCATTGGTACTTGATAATGTTAGCAGTGGTACTTGATAATGTTAGCAGTGGTACTTGATAATGTTAGCAGTGGTACTTGATAATGTTCGCATTGGTACTTGATAATGTTAGCATTGGTACTTGATAATGTTAGCATTGGTACTTGATAATGTTAGCAGTGGTACTTGATAATGTTAGCAGTGGTACTTGATAATGTTAGCAGTGGTACTTGATAATGTTAGCAGTGGTACTTGATAATGTTCGCATTGGTACTTGATAATGTTAGCATTGGTACTTGATAATGTTAGCAGTGGTACTTGATAATGTTAGCAGTGGTACTTGATAATGTTAGCAGTGGTACTTGATAATGTTAGCAGTGGTACTTGATAATGTTAGCAGTGGTACTTGATAATGTTAGCAGTGGTACTTGATAATGTTAGCATTGGTACTTGATAATGTTAGCAGTGGTACTTGATAATGTTAGCATTGGTACTTGATAATGTTAGCATTGGTACTTGATAATGTTAGCAGTGGTACTTGATAATGTTAGAAGTGGTACTTGATAATGTTAGCAGTGGTACTTGATAATGTTAGCAGTGGTACTTGATAATGTTAGCAGTGGTACTTGATAATGTTAGCAGTGGTACTTGATAATGTTAGTAGTGGTACTTGATAATGTTAGCAGTGGTACTTGATAATGTTAGCAGTGGTACTTGATAATGTTAGCAGTGGTACTTGATAATGTTAGTAGTGGTACTTGATAATGTTAGCAGTGGTACTTGATAATGTTAGCAGTGGTACTTGATAATGTTAGCAGTGGTACTTGATAATGTTAGCAGTGGTACTTTATAATGTTAGCAGTGGTACTTGATAATGTTAGCAGTGGTACTTGATAATGTTAGCAGTGGTACTTGATAATGTTAGCAGTGGTACTTGATAATGTTAGCAGTGGTACTTGATAATGTTAGCAGTGGTACTTGATAATGTTAGCAGTGGTACTTGATAATGTTAGCAGTGGTACTTGATAATGTTAGCAGTGGTACTTGATAATGTTAGCAGTGGTACTTGATAATGTTAGCAGTGGTACTTGATAATGTTAGCAGTGGTACTTGATAATGTTAGCAGTGGTACTTGATAATGTTAGCAGTGGTACTTGATAATGTTAGCAGTGGTACTTGATAATGTTAGCAGTGGTACTTTATAATGTTAGCAGTGGTACTTGATAATGTTAGCATGGTACTTGATATGTTAGCAGTGTACTTGATAATGTTAGCAGTGGTACTTGATAATGTTAGCAGTGGTACTTGATAATGTTAGCAGTGGTACTTGATAATGTTAGCAGTGGTACTTGATAATGTTAGCAGTGGTACTTGATAATGTTAGCAGTGGTACTTGATAATGTTAGCAGTGGTACTTGATAATGTTAGCAGTGGTACTTGATAATGTTAGCAGTGGTACTTGATAATGTTAGCAGTGGTACTTGATAATGTTAGCAATGGTACTTGATAATGTTAGCAGTGGTACTTGATAATGTTAGCAGTGGTACTTGATAATGTTAGCAGTGGTACTTGATAATGTTAGCAGTGGTACTTGATAATGTTGCAGTGTACTGATATGTTAGCAGTGGTACTTGATAATGTTAGCAGTGGTACTTGATAATGTTAGCAGTGGTACTTGATAATGTTAGCAGTGGTACTTGATAATGTTAGCAGTGGTACTTGATAATGTTAAGAGTGGTACTTGATAATGTTAAGAGTGGTACTTGATAATGTTAAGAGTGGTACTTGATAATGTTAAGAGTGGTACTTGATAATGTTAAGAGTGGTACTTGATAATGTTAAGAGTGGTACTTGATAATGTTAGCAGTGTACTTGTAATGTTACAGTGTATTGATAATGTTAGCAGTGGTACTTGATAATGTTAGCAGTGGTACTTGATAATGTTAGCAGTGGTACTTGATAATGTTAGGAGTGGTACTTGATAATGTTAAGAGTGGTACTTGATAATTTTAAGAGTGGTACTTGATAATGTTAAGTGTGGTACTTGATAATGTTAAGAGTGGTACTTGATAATGTTAAGAGTGGTACTTGATAATGTTAAGTGTGGTACTTGATAATGTTAAGAGTGGTACTTGATAATGTTAGCAGTGGTACTTGATAATGTTAAGTGTGGTACTTGATAATGTTAAGAGTGGTACTTGATAATGTTAAGAGTGGTACTTGATAATGTTAGCAGTGGTACTTGATAATGTTAAGAGTGGTACTTGATAATGTTAAGGTGGTACTTGATAATGTTAAGAGTGGTACTTGATAATGTTAGCAGTGGTACTTGATAATGTTAAGAGTGGTACTTGATAATGTTAAGAGTGGTACTTGATAATGTTAAGAATGGTACTTGATAATGTTAAGAGTGGTACTTGATAATGTTAGCAGTGGTACCTGATAATGTTAGTAGTGGTACCTGATAATGTTAGGAGTGGTACTTGATAATGTTAGCAGTGGTACTTGATAATGTTAGCAGTGGTACTTGATAATGTTAGCAGTGGTACTTGATAATGTTAGGAGTGGTACTTGATAATGTTTAGAGTGGTACTTGATAATTTTAAGAGTGGTACTTGATAATGTTAAGTGTGGTACTTGATAATGTTAAGAGTGGTACTTGATAATGTTAAGAGTGGTACTTGATAATGTTAAGTGTGGTACTTGATAATGTTAAGAGTGGTACTTGATAATGTTAGCAGTGGTACTTGATAATGTTAAGTGTGGTACTTGATAATGTTAAGAGTGGTACTTGATAATGTTAAGAGTGGTACTTGATAATGTTAGCAGTGGTACTTGATAATGTTAAGAGTGGTACTTGATAATGTTAAGAGTGGTACTTGATAATGTTAAGAGTGGTACTT